GTTCTGGAAGCCGAGGGAATGTTTCTGGGGACTTGGAGGAAGAGCGACCTATGGAGGGTGAGTTTGTCACCCTCCCTCCAAGAGATGGATGGCCTCTTAGGGGGGAGAGCAATTCCCTCTCCCCGCCCCCCGCCCATCCTGCGCACAGAGCCCCGTGCGAGCACCAGCCCACGTGAGCGCGTGTGCATGTGTGTACGTGAGTGTACGTGTGAAATGTGGCGGCGAGTGTACGCTCTGCAAAAATATGAATAATCAACACATCGCTCACACCTCCGCCGAGAGCCAGGAGGGAGCGGAGGTCCCGCGGGCTTTCCCCTGCCGGCTGGCGGAGGCGGGCGCCAGCAGGGAGCCGGGACGTTTCAGAGGAGCCCTTCCGCTCTCTCCTCAGCTGAACGGAGAGGCTCCCGGAGAGGACCGGGTGGGGTGGGGGCGGGGAGGCACAGTGAACTTTTTCTGGCTAAAGGTCTTACATCGCACGCCATTGCGATGTCTTGGAACTGGAGCTCCGGAGCGAGTCTTTGTATCCTCTTCGCCCGCTGAGATGCCACCCTCCTTCTGTGCAGCTGTGGAGCGGGGGCAAAGAGCCCCCTAAAGTGCTGCTGTCAAGTTTAAGGGCGAGAAAGTGTGTGGCAGTGCTGGGTGACCCTCCTGCCCGCGTTCATTTGCACTTCTTCTTGCCTTGAGACCTGCTCGATTGGGTCTCCTGATGCGGCTCCATCGGCCTTTGGGCGCAGCCTTGCGCGGTGCGGTGACGGTGGCCTCCCGCTTTGTGCACAGGTACCTGGAGGCGGCGGGAACCGCCGGTTTACACCAACGCGGCCAAACCCGGGCCTGGGCCGCACTCCACCCCTACACCCAGGAAATCAGGCCCCCAGGTTTAGGGGAGGCCAGGCCAGGCACCTTTCTCCCTACTGATCACCTGCTCCCTAAGACACATGCCCACCCACAGCCTACCGGCCGCCATTCCCGCCGCCCACTCCCACGTGGGGCCCAACTCCCACGTCCCGGCTCCAAACGCCCAAATGCGGTTGTTCCTGGGAAAACGTATCTTGACCTTTCGCGTCAGTGCCTCGGCGAGGGAGGGCTCCCTCGCGAGCTCTGCACCCAGAACAAGGGAATGAGGAGGAAGGGTATTTTTCAGGGGGAATACTGAGGAGAGAAGAAAAAGAAGAGAGATGAGCAAGAGACTTCCTGGAGGTTACGCAGGTTTAGGGTAGATGCAACTCTGTGGTCTTCAGTCCATTCCGGTAAACTCGGTGCAGCCACTCCGCGCCTGGGTGCAACACCATGTTTCTACCTACTGTCCTTCCAGACCTCAGGTTTCTCCAGCTGTTCCCTCTGGAATCCCCTTCACTAGGTAAACACAGAAACCAACCAAACGAACAAAAAAGAAAAAAAAAGCGAATCTAACTGCTTACTAAGTTGTCCTAAAAGGAGACAAACTCTTCCGTGTGGGTGGGGAGTCTCCCGGATGTGTCTGCCATGCACTTAGGGGTGGAGTAGTTCTCCCCTCCTCCCGGGCACTCACTGGTGGAGCGCACACGTCCAGTTTCGTAAGAAAAATGCCCGAAGTTGACATTTGGAGCGGGTGTTAGTGGGGCTGGCTATTTAAGAAATTATTTCAAGAGAAACTGTGAACATAAATATTCGGCAGGATTCTGAGATGGCGAACACATTTATGTATTTCTACTCGGACGAATAAACAGCAAAGGTTCCAACTAAAACAAACAAATTGGAAAATTCACGTCTGAAGAGGGACTCGCGGAGACCTGCCACGTATTTAATTTACAAAACCCAGACTGCTGTCCCCGAGGGTCGAATTCCCTGGGCACTCGCCAGGCTCGGTCCTCGGGACGCAGAGACCCTGGCGCCGCAGTGTGTGTGTCTGGGGGTGGGGGTGAAGGTCAGACTGTCAGGGGCGGGGGGGTTTCTCACACCTGATTTCACCCCAGGGCCCTGCTGGACGGGAAAGAGGCCCCGAGAGCAATTTTCTAAGAAAGATTTCGGAACCTCTGACCTAGAGGAGAGAGGAGGCGCCCAGGAGACTAGACCTAACGAGATTGGGGAAAGGGGCCCTAAAACTAGCCGGGAGGGAAGTGGACACGGCGGTGCAGATGGGAAACATACAGGGGGACCCGGTTCACTGGCAGAGTGAACAAAGGAGGGGTTGGGGGGGGGGGAAGGACGAGGGCCGCCAACCCACCCGGTTTTGTGCAAATAGCTTGGCGTGAAGAATTTTAATAATGTTCATCTAGGATTTTTCTCGACCCCTGCAAGCAGGGGAGCGAAGCAAGGGCCGGGCGGGGGAGGCGCGCGGCTCCGCACC